GACCAAGAACATAGGCATTTTCTCTCCATAAACACACACATCATATTCTCAGAAATGACTTCTGTGCAAGAATGGCACCTATCTTAGCTGAAAATAGAACACATGAAATTTTCCATAGCTTAAAATCTTGAGATATTCTTGCACATCCATCATGGAAGAAGGTAAGATTAGCTGGAGAGTGGAGTATGCTATTTTGTATGTGTGTGCGTGCACACTAGCATCACACAAATCCTTATGAAAGTTAGATGAAATATGAATTGCTTTTATATATAAAAATAGTATTGATAGGTGATAAACATAAAAGTAAATAGTAGCATACAGGAATGAAGGAGATAATCCATGACAAAAGCTTCTGAATAGAAACTGCCAGTTAATGTTTCTAAGAAACACATTTTCTTTCTTCTTGTACCACTATGTTTACTGTAAACTGAAAAATAGTATCAATACTGTTTACATAACAGGGCTTGTCAAGTCACCAACTTTAAAGTTTTGCATCAGTGCCATTATTTGTGCAGCACAATGGAGGAACACATATCACGTGGAGTTATGTTTGCTTTACAGCAGGTAGGAATAGAAGGATACATTTTAATTACAAGCTAGACTGTAAAGGGCATAGCGTGAGTTATAGATTTTATAAAGAGCAGCATCTTTGGTATCTGGAATAGGGTGGGAGGGTGACCTTTCCTCTGAGGTTTAAGATAATCTGAATAAACCATCAGAAGGATTCTATCAAACTGCCAAAAAGGTAAATAATTTTCTTTGGGTATGCTGCCATTTGAATATGGCCATCTTGGCAGTGGAAACAAGGCAAGCAAACTTATTTTATTTTTGTCTGTAAATAAATAAAATTTCTTTCCAGGACAAATAGCAGACACCTGTGTATACAACCTAGACACTACCATTAAACAAATGTCCTATAAAGTGTTTATTGGGCTGAAGTGTAATAAAGTTATTCTGCAGTGTATAATCCAGCTCATTTTCCTGCTCTGAGACAATACCAAATATAATTTTTATATTAACTTAACCTACAATAATTGAGACAGAAAAATATTAACCTTATCCTATAATACCCAAACTCAGGGTCAGCTAAGTACATTTCCCAACTCATGTCCTTCACTCAGTAAAATAAGTGTTGGAAATTTACCGCTACAAGATGCAGTGAGGCTTAATTAGCTTAGAAAAGGACAAGCCAGATTAACGGAGAAAGTAAAGGGCTTTTGACCCTGGCAGCCAGGTCGGTAGTAGTACCAGGTGATAAAATGCAGTGATGGTGAAAAGCTGCAGCTTCCCTGGAACAGCCAATTCCTAGATTCAGTGGACCCTGCACCTGAGTCAGGTGGGTTCTCTTATACTCTTACAGGCAGAGACTGAGTGCTGCCAGTTTCAGAACGCTGTTTAAAGCAGTGTTTAACCTCAACAACTTTAAGATGCGTGGACTTCAACTCCCAGAATTCCCATACTGGCTGGGGAACTCTGCGAGTTGAAGCCCATGCTTCCTAAAGTTGCTGAGGTTGAGAAACACTGGTTTAAAAGATGCCTCTCTATTTTGTGAAAGTCTGATCCTAGCAGTTTCCACATTTGGGGAGTTTTGGGGGGTGGGGAAAGCAGATTATTCTGGTTTCTTTTAGACGCATGCTGGGAGATTGTGGGGAGGAGGCTTCCCCATGCAGATGTTATTCTTTTTCGTTTAGGCCTCATAGCAGCATGATTATCTTTGAGCAAATATACAGCTTAAAATGGCATTTGTTCCAAACATTTATTATAGGTAACTACAGTGAGACAGTCAAACAAACACTGAGAAGCCAATGCAGTCAACACACATCAGAAAACAGAACACTAATAATGTACTATTCTCAGTATATCAGAATGAGTCGGTCCCTCAAAAAATAAAAATAATTTTCAAAGATCACTCATACAGAGCCAGTCCAATACATTTTGCCGCCTAAGGGAAAAGACAAAATGGCATCCCCTTATTCAACGGACATCAGCTGACCAGATTGATGGCTTCATTTTTCTTCAGCACTACCAACAAGACAGTACTCATCATTAACACCAAAGGCAACCAGAACAGCTTAGGGCTTGCAGCCATCACTTGGTGCACACAACCCTGACCTCCCAACACATCTTCTCAAATCCTTATCCCTCAGTATTTGCTGTCTGAGGCAGCTGCCTTGTTCTTTTTAATACCAAGAGTAAATCTGAACACACAGAGACTGGATTCATACAGCACTAACCCTATGCCATACGGTGATTTTAGTTTTAGCTTAGTGTGGCATGTTAGCCCAGCAACTGTGGTTTATAAAGCATGATTGATGGCTTAGTATTGCATATGAACCAGGCCATTCATGGCTTATTAAAACAAGCTATGGCTTAGCACTATGTGTGAAGCCTGAATTGTGTATCCCTCTGATGGATTCATATTTATTAAGTAACAATAGAGTTTTGATTTTGTATATTGTGACTTCAGCAAATTGTGGCTTCTTCCAGAAACCATGGTTAGAAAATGGCTTAAATATAAACTTAAGTATATTTACTTAAGTATAAACCTATTCTCATACTTGTTAATTATCCTTTAGTAATACCTTTATTTCCAAGCACATATTTTAGACATTATTGTGCGCTGGTATTTAGGAAAGAAAAACATTTTTGCTTGCCTTATTTTTACTGTTGTCACATATACATATTTTGCACCACCAAATAGTTGATAACTTAAGGCTGATGTCAAGTTGTCCTGTCTACACATGGCTCTGTGCTAAAGGATTTTGTTTTTATAAACTTACAAGTATCATTACCCTGAAAAGTTGCCAAACTTTAAGGGGAAAAGGCACAAAGTGGCTTTAGGGTGATAGTTCATCAACCTTCACGGCTCCTCTAGATGGTTTTTGCAGCTGCCCACTCCCAGACATACTGTTCCACACTTTTTTGCTCCTGGCACATCAGTTTGGGTTATCTAAATCTTATATGTAGAATGACGTAGTCACATATATACTCCTAATTTATCAAATTAATTCCATTACATATAGAATCCTTATCAAGGGAATGGCAATTTTATGTATCAATAGATGATAGTGGAATGGAAATGGAACACAGCAAAAGCTAGGGAAGTGTACCTATCAGAATTTTTCCAAGAGAAAGCCTTCTTCATATGATTAGAATATCATAGTGGAAGGGTTTTTTTCCCAAAATGGTAGGAGCTATGCTAAAAGAATGTACGCATGTGCATACACATACACAATAGAAGAGAATATGTGTAGCTCAGGGTTGAACTGTGGAGTCCTTGGGGTTCTCTGAGCTTGACTGTTTTCTTGGAAACGTTTCGTTACCCGGCTAGGTAACATCTTCAGTGCTAGCAAGAAAACGGCCAAGCTCAGAGAACCCTAAGGACTCCACATACACATACACACACTCAAAAGTTCCATTACATTCAGAAAGCTCATGATCTAGCAAAATACATTTAGGAACTCAGCCCTGAGGCTTACTTACCATGTGTATATTTAGGGCCACTTCCCATAAGATATTTTGTAAGATAAAGATATCCAACTATAAAACATGTATTAGTTATGAAGACCACATTCAAATCACTGTTCACTTTTAATATATCTACAAGTATGGATCAACCCTTTCCTGATTTCCATTTATTCTGAAGGTAGTTGCTGCAAACTACACTTCATGAAACAAAAAAATGTTAAGAGTTTCCTAGCACAAAGCATCCTTTAAACTGTTCCCTATTTTGTTCATTAATTCAACAGGAACAAAGAAAAAGGAACTTATCTCTACATTAATGTCTCCTCTTCCCTCATGTGAAGTGAAGTTGGTGGCATAAAAAAGAGATTTCTAAGCTTAACCTTTATACCCTGAAAACAAAATTTGGCTGAACTAGTAATTATCCATCCACAATGACTACACAGATCAAAGGCTTCTTGTACCTTAGATAGTACCTTAGTTCCTGGCATATGAACAACAGACCTCAATTTGTTGGAGAAGGGGTTTGCATGCACTGATTGTGTAACACCTTAATCAATATGAAAAGAAAAGAATTCTAAGGCAGAATGAATTTTCAACAACCTTACTGTCCATCTAGGGCTCCTGAATCATCCAGTAGCAATAGCACAGAATTCAAATGCACCTAAAAACCCAGCCCTGACATACTTGCAAGGAGTTGTATCTTTCCCCATCCTTTCATTTTTAATACTATACCTGCTAATAGTGAAGAGAGTTCAAGAATTCAACATACAAACTGAACATCACAAAAGCAAAAAGGTTACAATTAGAGGGCCGTTCAGTTTAAAATTAAAGAAAAAGAATTACACGTGCAGAGTCTAATATAACTGGTTCCGCTATAATTGCCCCAGCAGCCTAAGATACCAAGAAAAAGAGAGTAATTAAGACAAGATTAGGAGCAGCATTTGACTTCTCAATCTTGCAAGGTACTGCCAGCATAAGTTTAGAAACAGCACAGCCTCAGGGGATATTTTTCACATTTTATTTACATTTGAAGACTAACTTTATTCTCAATCACATATCCATACACCTATTTCCTTTTTGTTTGTTTCACTAAAACTTAAATGCATGGTTTATTAGAACGAAGACTGTAAACAAATATTTGCAATGTCCATTACATGAAACACACAGGAGCTGCTTAAAAGAAAATCATTCCCCCATTTTATAAATACAAGTATCAAAACAATCCTGACCATATTCTGAAACACTACTAGCAGTCAGCACCCACACATTGCAAAAATTAAACAAGTTGAGCAATGGTATTTGCAGTACCTGCTACTTAATTGTTTTAATCTGCAGCTCTTTCACTAAAGCTGCTGTACGG